AAAAAAAAAAAGACTTGTCAGAAAAATGACATCCGAAGAATATAACGTCGTCGGGAGAACATTGGACACATAAAACATTAATTTTTTTTAATAAATCAGAATATAATTAAATTAATCAAAAACAAAAATACACATCCACTTTCGTTATAGTTTTGGTAATTCGTCGTCACATGTAAAGACAAATGTGGTTAGGTCCTTATAACGTGACGCGGCAACTAGTGCGCTCGGTTCGGTATTTATTGAAAACAATGCATTCCCACACACACACAAGAAAAAAAAAAAGACCGGAATGTCATTGGAGAAATAATCCACGTAAACATATATTAGAATATAGTAACTATATTTCTCTGATCTTATTGGAAATTGTTAAATTCTTTTTTATATAAATTTGAAGTTCTATTAGTTTTTGGATAAGATGGTGATCTACCATGAGATGTCGATGTCCACGGAGAACCAATTTCTATAGTTTTATAAATCATGTAAATTCTAATATTATAAATGAAAATTTTCATAATTTTTAATATATGTTTGCTGCCTAAGAAAATTTAACCTAATATCTTTTAAGAAAACGCTAGATAATATATGTTTCTAGCTCGGATAGAACTTAATCTTCTCAATCGTAGGTTTGAAGGTGTATACATATGAAAACTAAAAAAAGGTAAAGAGATGTTTGATTTGATTAATGCCATATTTAATTTAAAACAATAAATAAAAGTGGTGATCTGATAGCAAAGAGTTTTAAATTTTTGATAACTTCAAAAATGGGTTTTCATAGGATGCAGACCGGACGGTCTGCACGTTCGCGAAACAGAACGGACGGACCAACATCAGAACGGACGGTCTGAAATTAGGGAAAAAGTGACCAAAATTTCTGACTTTCTTCCACCTTTCGGCCGCGATTATTGCGCGACAATCTGTCCCCATGCGCCACCAGCCAGCATCCCGTGTAGTGTCAGACACAGACTGGCCCCCAGGCCGCGTTTTGGTCGATTTGGTCTCTGAAACGGTTGATAAATCGGCTCCAACAAGAGGAAGAAAACCATCTCGACTGAAAAACCAGATTTTCGAAAAAGGGAGAAAGGGAGAGAGATTGAGGAAGAACTGAGGTAAAGAGAGCTCGGGAAATCGAAGAGGGACAACCCAAGGAGGTTCCTAGGAAGTTTCGGAGGGTAAGAAGACCTGTAGAACTCGCACGAGCTCAGAGGAAAACACAGCTCACAGAAATCCGAGGTGAGTGGTTTGGATTGTGTTTGTGAGATTCTATTTTCATGATTTACGGTGTAGACCAAATATTATGCAAGAGTTAAGCACCTAGGAATGTGAAATATTGAGTGGGTAACGATTAGAATTAAAATCAGATCAGAATTTGGCAAAAAATGGCGAAAGATCGGACTGAATCTCGTGAGGAAGACGAAGTCCTGGGTCCCAGACTGTCCGGTGTGCATGTGTAGACCGTCCGATCTGGGATAAGACAGAACGAACATGTAGAACGAGCTGGGTCGACCGTTCTAGCAAGACCTAGACTGCCCGGTCTGAGAAACAAGGGAGAACGGACGGTCCGAATGAGCTGGACCGCCCGGTCTAGACCACGTAGAACAGACGGTCCGAATGAGCTGGACCGCCCGGTCTGGACCAGGTAGAACGGACGGTCCAAGACTAAAAACCAAACAAGATGCGCACACGCGGGGACTGGACGGTGTACTCGTAGACCGACCGGTCCAGACAAACCTCAAAATGGCTGGAACGTTCGGTCTACTACGTGGACCGAATGGACTGGCTGTAACCCCGACTATAGATTCAAATGGATTAAACTGTAATACGGTGTTAAATGGTAATTAAACGAACTAGGATTAAATGAGCATGTCGAACGAATATGAAAAAGGTAGAAATGCACATAAGGAAAGGTATTAATCCGCAAACCGAAGTGAACACGAAGGATAAATCTAGAGAAAAACTCGGAAAGGGTAATATGGGTAAATGGTTATATATAATTATGATAAAGCATGTGATTGAATGAGTAATGGAACCCGTACTTAGTACCGGTTGACGATGTGAGTCAGTACTAGTACGGGGATGTGTGGATATAGAACCAGTGCCGGTTGATGAACTTGGAGTCAGCACTGGAGGATGTGTGGTTTCGGTGATAGTACCGGTTGACGAACTTAGAGTCAGTACTATTACCGAAATGTAATACCAGTACCGGTTGACGATGTGGAGTCAGTACTGGTGTAATTGGGTGGACGTTTTCGTGACGGTACCGGTCAACGAAGTGGAGTCAGAACCGCTATGGAAATGTGTAGTGAAGCCAGTACCGGTTGACGGCGTGGAGTCAGTACCGGTGAATCTGAGTGGTCGTCTCTATAATAGTACCGGTTGACGAAGTGGAGTCAGTACTATTATAGAGAAGTAGGGTAGAGTCTAGTACCGGTAGACGAAGTGAGTCAGTACTAGATGATACCGAAAGGAATGGTACCTGATGGTGCCGGTAGACGACTTGAGTCAGTACTATCAGGTATCGAAAATGTATGGGTAATGATAATGTATTAAAAGGATTAATGAGAAAAAGTTAAATGGATAAAAAATGAAATTCTTGTATTGAGAGATTAGTTGGCACCGTTCTCCATGAGAATGAGCTCTCCGCGGTCAACCCGAGCCGCTCACTAAGCTTTTTGCTTAGTCCTCCGTTGTTGAATTTTTTAGATCCCGAGGAGCATGAGTAGCGCACTTTGGACGGCGACGACTTGTGAATGCATCATTATGTACGGATAACTAATCCTATTTTGTATGTTTTGGTTTGTGGAACAAGGTTCCGCGTGGAAACGGTTATGTTTAATTGTGTGTTTGGACATTGTTGTTTTCGAGAAACGTGTGACGATTTTATTCCGCTGCGTGTTTGTATTTAAAAACGATTTTTAATTCCCGTACTTTTGGTTTTATTATATTTTATTGGTTTTCGTCCATGTGGCATAACCTGTTCACGGGATGCGGGATTCGGGTGTCATAACTTTTGGTATCAGAGCAACGTTCTATCCACGGGAAAGAACGACTCATACCCTTAAGGTTTTCACACTGAAAAGTGTATTTCGATAATCATTTTAAAAGAAAACTGTTTTACAAATGTCGTATACAATGATGTTTTACTAGTCGTCGTTTGCTAAGTACAACCACGTGATGCAATGAAATAGTGCCACGACGTACTTGGTCAATCACGGGAGACAACAGCGTACCCAACCATGACCCCCGTACTGATAGATTCAAGGAGTTTCAAGAAGAGATGAGGAACGAATTGAGGAACGAGCTGCGTGAGTTCCAAGGGGCGATGATGCAAACGCTGAGGGCTCATATCCCGCTTCCACCACCGGCGGGGGAACTGGAGCCAAGGGGGGAGGACTTACCTCCACCACCACATGTGGACCCAATGGTCAGGGAGTATCTTCCTATCATCCGGGAATTGCGAGCCATGCATACTCCGCGTTTCGAAGGCTCACTGAGTCCGGAAGCTGCAGAAGAGTGGTTAACTACCATTACTCGAGACTTGGAATATGTCCTATGCCCTCATCGCCACCGAACTATGATAGCGAGCCATCACCTGGCAGGGCAGGCTCGACACTGGTGGGAGAAGGTGGTGCAGGAAATGCCTGAGGGGCACTGCTTTACCTGGGAGGAGTTCAAGGGGGAATTGGAACACAAATACTACAACCACCAGGACCAGGAACACCGCTTTATGGAATTCTTGCAGCTGCAGCAAGGGAACATGACAGTTCGCGAATACGAAGCGGAGTTCACTTGTTTGCTGACCTATGCAGGACATCTGGTACCTACGGAAAGCAAAAAGATCCAGAAGTTCATTGCCGGACTACGACCCTATCTTCACAGGAAGATAGAACTCCACGAGTACCCCACGCTCAGTCGCTACATCAGCCAGCTGGTGAAGGCAGAGCGAGGAGAAAGGGAAGAGAAGGAGGAGCGCATCCGAGATCGGAGCCCTATCAGGCGATTCTCCAACACCCGACCTCCGGGAAAGACCAGCCAGGTAGGTCAGAGCAGCCAGTCACGGGACAAGGGGAAAGCACCTGCTAGTGGTGCGCTACCGCTGCCACCACCACCTTACCGGGGACCACTGACCTGTTTTCGATGCCAACAGCCGGGACACTTTGCGGCCAATTGCATCGCACCTACAGATGCATTGCCTGTAGCCAGACAGCCGCGACCACCATCGAGGGCTGGAGCAGCTCCGAGAGTTTATGCTCTTGAGGCTGAGACAGAGGCATAGGAGGAGGAGATCAATCTCGAGGATGACGAAGCTGCCGCTATCACAGGTACCCTTCACCTTTGCGATGCTGAGTGCTATACATTGTTTGATACTGGGGCTACTCACAGTTTCTTGAGCTTAGAAAAAACAAAGAAACTAAGTATGGAGCGAATAGATACGGAGAGCGACTTTACTGTTCGCACACCATCGGGAGAGACACTCCCGGTACATGGGACCTTACGAGATGTATCGCTGGACATCTGTGGTCGTAACTTGGCCGCAGATCTCATAGTGGTACCGATTGGCGGTTATAACATCATATTGGGCATGGATTGGTTGTCGAAGCACCGAGCTCAGATTGATTGTCAGAAGAGGACCATATGGTTTATGCATGCAAGCGGTGGGTTCGAATTTCGGGGAAGAGGAGCACCATCGACAAACCCCATCATTTCGGCACTCAAGGCCGAAAAGATGATCAAAAAGGGGAATGAAGCATTTCTGGTAGTCATCACCGCTACCAAGGAACTGGAACACAAAGTAGAGGATACTCCGATTGCTCGAGAGTTTCCTGACGTCTTCCCCGATGATTTGTCGGGATTACCGCCAAACAGAGAGGTGGATTTCACCATTGATGTGCTACCGGGTACTGAACCAATCACCAAGGTTCCGTACCGGATGGCACCGACAGAAACGGCAGAGTTGAAGGAACAATTGAACGAATTGATGGAGAAGGGATTCATACGCCCTAGCGTCTCGCCCTGGGGAGCGCCGGTGTTGTTCGTGAAGAAGAAAGATGGGAGCATGAGATTGTTCATTGATGAGTTGCTAGATCAACTTCAGGGAGCTAAATGGTTCTCAAAGATCGATATGCGATCGGGATACCACCAAATTTGGGTTAAGGCCGAGGATATACAGAAGACGGCATTCTGAACTCGATATGGGTACTTTGAGTTTGTGGTCATGCCATTTGGACTCACAAATGCTCCCGCAGTATTTATGCAGCTGATGAATCGCATATTCATGGATTACTTAGATGAGTTTGTCATCATATTCATCGATGACATTCTTATCTATTCGCCAGACCCCCAGACTCATGAGGATCACCTGCGGAAAACACTTTGGAGATTAAAGGAGAATAAGTTGTATGCGAAATTCAGCAAGTGTAGCTTCTGGTTGCAGGAGATTGGATTTCTATGACATGTGGTATCCGCGCAGGGAATCCATGTAGATCCGGCTAAGATCGAGGCGGTCATAGACTGGAAGCCCCCGACCTCTGCAACCGAAATTAGAAGCTTCCTAGGTCTCGCTGGCTATTACCGAAGATTTGTGGAAGGTTTTGCTAAGATAGCCCGACCTATGACGAAGCTCACCGGGAAAAACATTAAGTTTGAATGGACCACGGAGTGCGAGGAAAGCTTCCAAGAACTGAAACGGAGACTTACCTCAGCACTGATCTTGGCATTGCTGCGCCCGGGAATACTATATGAAGTCTACACTGATGCCTCCAAACAGGGACTAGGATGTGTCTTGATGCAAGAGAGGCACGTCATTGCATATGCATCGAGGCAATTGAAAAAGCTTGAGGAAAACTACCCGACCCACGACATGGAGTTAGCGGCAGTAGTGCATGCTTTGAAAATCTGGAGGTCCTATTTGTACGGGGAAAAGGTTAAGCTTAACACTGACCACAAGAGCTTGACATACGTAATCTCCCAGAAAGATTTGAACTTAAGGCAACGGCGATGGTTAGAACTCATTGCCGACTATGATTTAGAGATCGCTTATCACCCGGGAAAGGCTAACGTGGTAGCTGACGCTCTCAGTCGGAAGAAGATTTTTTCTGTCATCCGTGTCGTGATGTCGTCCCGCAACAATGCTTCCGAACTGGTAGCTATGCTGGGACATTTGACCTTGACACCGGTGGAACCAACCCCGACCTTTGCAGAACGAGCGGTCGCTGGACAGCGTAATGATCTTTTGCTTGCTCGGTACATGGATAGTATAGAAGAGTACGGTCGTAAGGGATACCGTATCGATGAGAAAGGAGCATTGCGACTGGGTAACCGACTATGTGTGCCAGATGACCATGTGTTGAGACAGGAGATATTATCGGAGGCACATCAGTCCAGACTAGCTATACATCCCGGGGCGAGTAAAATGTACCAAGGATTACGACGGTGGTACACCTGGCCGGGAATCAAGAGGGATGTGGCTGATTTCGTAGCAAGATGCCTTACCTGTCAGCAAGTGAAAGCGGAACGAAAAATGTCGGGTGGTAAACTATAACCGTTGGAAATTCCGGAATGGAAATGGGATTCTATTGCGATGGATTTTGTGGTTGGATTACCACTTACCCCGAGTAAGAAAAATGTCATTTGGGTAGTTGTGGACCGATTGACGAAATCCGCTCACTTCATCCCTATCAGACAGGAGTACACGATCGAGCAATTGGCACAGATATACGTCGATGAGCTCATACGGCTGCATGGAGTGCCAAGTGAAATCATATCCGATAGAGATGCTCGATTTACATCTCGTCTATGGAAGGATATACAGGGAGCGTTGGGTACGAAGTTGAAGATGAGCACAGCGTATCACCCCCAGACTGGCGGCCAGTCGGAACGAACCATCCAAACCTTGGAGGACATGCTCTGAGCATGTGTACTAGATTGGGGAGTTCGGTGGGATCGGTACATGACGTTGTGTGAGTTCGCATACAACAACAGTCATCACGTGAGTATTGGGGTATCACCGTATGAAGCACTGTATGGGAGGCCATGTAAGACGCCACAGCTGGACCGAGATCGGAGAACGCAGAGCCTTCGGACCTGAAATCGTTGAAGAGACGACGGAGGTGATTCAGAAGATTCACGCTAACCTGAAGACCGCATAAGACCGACAGAAATCTTATGCGGATCAGAGGAGGCGGGACTTCACTTTGGAAGTAGGAGACCAAGCCTTCCTCCGAGTTCAGGCAATGCGAGGGCATGCGAGGTTTGGACAAGGTGGAAAACTGAAGCTGAGATACATCGGACCCTACCCGGTGATTGCAAAAGTGGGAACTGTAGCGTATCGTCTTGGACTACCATCAGAGTTGGGAAACGTGCATGACGTATTCCACGTATCAATGCTGCGGAAGTATGTGGCAGATCCATCCCATGTGATACAACCGCAGGAATTGGAGTTCACCAGCGCTATGCGTTTTCGGGACGAACCACTACAGATCGTGGACCGGAAAGTCAAAAAGCTACGAACCAAGGAAATACCGCTCGTCAAAGTGGTATGGAGAAGTCAAGGGGTTTCCGACATGACATGGGAACCCGAGGAGAAGATGCGTAAGACTTATCCCCATCTGTTTATTTAAGTGTTGTAAACGTCTGGACGAGCGAGATTGTACTGTGATGAACTTTTATGGAATTTAAGGAAAGCTTTCGAATGGATGTTAAACAATTCAGAATTCGAGGACGAATTCATTTTAAGGGGGGAGGATTTGTAATACCCCGATTCCCGAATAAATTATTTAAATTAACTTCTGGAATAAAATAGGGTAAAACAAGTCTAAAATATAAGGTGATTGGCATAAAAATCGAACCAAGGGATCAACGGGACTCAAACGCGTCGAAAACGTCGAAAAAACAAAGGAAATAGGGTCTAGACCGATCGGTCCAAAGGTAGACCGACCGGTCTAGCGAAAAACGGAGAAAAAGATGAAAAATTGGTCAAGACCGGATGGATCAGGATGCAGACAGGGCGGTCTGCACGTTCGCAAAACAGAACGGACAGACAAGCATCAGAACGGACGGCCTGAAATTGGGGAAAAAGTGACCGAAATTTCCGATTATTGTGCGACAATCTGTCCCCACGCGCCACCAGCCGCCACTCTCGTGTAGTGCCAGACACAGACTGGCCCCCAGGCCGCGTTTTGGTCGATTTGGTCTCTGAAACGGCTGATAAATCGGCTCCAACAAGAGGAAGAAAACCATCTCGACTAAAAAACCAGATTTTTGAAAAAGGGAGAAAGGGAGAGAGATTGAGGAAGAACTGAGGTAAAGAGAGCTCGGGAAATCGAAGAGGGACACCCCAAGGAGGTTCCTAGGAAGTTTCGGAGGGTAAGAAGACCTGTAGAACTCGCACGAGCTCAGAGGAAAACACAACCCACAGAAATCCGAGGTGAGAGCAGACACCAATTACCATCTGATGTTGCCTCCACTAGGGTTGGCACAAGTATCCGAAAATCGGGTATCCGTCGGATACTCATCTCACGAATATCCGATTTTACGGTACTCGTAATTTTCAAATCCAAATTCAAATCTCGATTTTTCAATACCCGTGAATCCGAATCCAGATTCGGATAATAGAATTTTTAAAACCGTATACCCGCGGGTACCCGACTATTATGATTATAAATAACTATATCTTATATTTATATAACATTTTTATAAAATATAATTATTTTAGATTAAATAATTTCATATTTTTTAATGTTAATTCAAAAAAATTAAATTTATTATTATTTATTTCTTTTGTCTCATATATTTTATCATAATAATTCATCAATGTTTATAAATATATCTTCATTTTTTGAAAAATTTATATATGAGTAATGTTGTTTTTCTTAAATAAATCTGGATCCGGATACTCGCGAATGTCCGACCATTATTCCGGATACTCGTATCCTGGATTCTCGTAGCTACCAAATCACAGATACAAATCTTATAGTTAAATACCCGAACCTTCCAGATCAAAATCCAAATCTCTCGATTTTCCCGGATATCCGATCCGTGCCCACCCCTTGCCTCAACCACCCTGCTGTTTGTGGGGATTCTTAAAAGTCTTTGTCTGTGATGACATCATTACCAATTCTGCATCTCACAAATTATCTGCCACAATCCAGAGTTTTATCATTTTTCTGGCATTCTACGAAAACCGTAAAACCGAGCGTCCCCTTCCACCTTATTTCCTTGTTCTTCAAGGACATTCAATGGTCTGCCCTGCAAAATTTGCTCTTTAGAAATATAAAC